GCAGTGTCATTGCTTGTTTGGAGGGCAATGAAACGTACGTTGAGTTCCAGGTTTTTCTCTCATTTCTTTTTAAGGTGATGTCACAAACCAAATCCACACTGAAGCTTACCAGGTCTCCAATCAGTGCATGGCTCTGGTTCGAGATAACTGCCTGGTACCCACCAGAGACGCCCCAGAGCTTGGCTATGTCAGAGAGTCAACCAGTGAGCAGTATGTACCAGATGTCTTCTACACGGTCAGTGTTTTCATTCACAAAGATCAGCATTAATTTATTGGGTCATGCTCCTTCATCGTATGGAAAGGGACTGAGGAATTTATGTCTTCAGTATACTTGTGCTCTTGGGGGGGCAGGTCTGGCAAACTTGCTCTCTGAGTTGGTGGTTAGTTTGTTTTTGTTTTCATTTTTCAGTTACGTTATATCTCATTATTGCCTTCTGTTGTGTCCCTGTCTTTATTCTTTGTGTATGACTTAAGGGTAAGCATTGAAAACTATGGAGACCTCAAGCAGTTTTTCTCTAGGGCCTTTACCCATGAATTGTCAAGTATTTGGATACTCTGTGGTGGACACAATTATTGTTCTTTTCAGAACCATACAGACTCACAAAAGAGATCGTATCCTTGCATGGTGCTACCGCAAGCTGTCCACCATAGACACAATTGTAGATGACAGTGACCTGCTTAGTGCCATGTACACAGGAGTGTGTTTGATTAATTTTCATTTGAATGTGCACAAACTGGAAACATCTTGCTGTAGTAGGATACAGAGTGGAAATGCAGCTTAGTTGTCAGACTGCTGTTGGAAGCCTTCATATCTTTCATTTTCTTGGGGCATAGTCATTCACAATCGCATAGCTGACTACTCACATGTTCTTAATGTAATTTACACCTTTACTTGAATACAGGAGACAGACAGTTATGGCAACACTTCTAAATCATTAGCAAGGCCTCTCCCTGTTGAGTTTCTGCTTGTTGATGTGAGTTAAAATCCTTCTCATTGACCTGTTGCTAATTGATTTTTAAGAGCTTAGCTAAGTACCAATCAATTTATTCAACATATGAAGAGTTTAGTTCCAAAAGACGATAAGCGCCGTTTTGGTAGGTTTCAGAATCCTACCCTCTCTCTGTCGTCTGCAGTCAGTTTCTACAGATTTAAGACGGTTAAACACAACTTTACCAAGTTAAAATCATGAAAAAGAAGTTTAGAGACACATGACATGCTGCTAAAACTCTTCAATTTTTCATAATAGTGAAAAGATTGCATTTTTTTTAAATGGATATGTGAGATTTTGGTTTGTAGTGTTTTTGTTGAGCAGAACTGTTTGTACTTAACAAATTTCCTTTGAGCTTTTTCTCTGTTTCTGGGCTTATCTGAACTTCAAGTAAACCTCTCATCAGGGAGTCAGGTTGGCAAGGTAGTTCTTTCCTCGCCTTCCACCTCTGTGGTCCCGGGTTCGATTCCCGGCCCGGTCCACATGTGGATTGGGTTATCAGTCCCTACCTGACTCCGTTGGTTTTACCCAGAATATTCCTCTGGGGTTTTCCTCCCACCTCTAAAACTGTAACTGCTTCTTATTGTCTCCCCTTTACTGATGTTGGTGAATGTGGGTCGTTTGGCGGCTGCCCGAGGCGCCCTTGTAGGCCATCGGCTCAACCATGTTTAAATGTTTTCATTGCTCCATGCTTAATGTCTTCATTGTACAGCGCATTTGAACATATCTATATGAAATTTGCACTTTATAAATGAATGAATTATAAATTATTTTAATTATTATATCACCTGGGAAACGAACAAGGCACCAAATACATGGACTGGAAATTTTTTCCCCACGATTGTTCAGGTCACGTGCGGCTTTCCTAAGGATCCTATGTACACTTTCAACGACAGAACGATACTCAAGCATTTCCCAGTAGAGAATCGCTCAGAGCTTGGGGAACTACAGGACCTTGGCCCCTTGGCACAGTACATGAAGCAATTCAGCGGTGACCAGTTTCTGGAAGCCATGTCGGATTTCCATTTAATGATTTATCTAGCCACTTTACAGATGCTACCGATCAGGGTGAGTAGCCGTCCGGTTTCACCCATGGGCATTGCCGGGATTTTTCGTGAAAAAGAGGGTGCTTTGTTACCTAGCAACACAATCTCGCTGTGCTGACACACTGTGCATGCACTTTTGTTTGTTTGCATGCAAAATGAAGGCATGGCCACGTCAATTCCTCCAAGTGCTGAATGCACCCAATCATTTTGTACAGTGTTGAGCACTGCCACATTGTTTATTCAACTTTCTCTTTTAATCACCAGTTGCCAATGTCCAGCTCTTGGTCTTTTCAATTTAATCTACAGTAAGCGCTGTTTCAGGGGTAATAATGATGACCAGGCTACCTTCCATTTGAGGTCTCAGGTCAAAGGTCATTGAATACATTAAGTTTGTGTTGCTGGTCCCTCCAAAGTCCTCAATCCCTTCCCTGGTTGACTGGTGGCTATCTTTTGTTAATCATTAGGAACACATGGGATCACTTCTTGATGCACTGAGGAGTCGTGATGGTGAACTGGCCAAAGCGTGGTCCAAGAGCGAACAGTGGGCAACACTGGAACACTTCATGGCAGCACAGGGTGAGTCCAGACTTTGACTTCTGCTGAGATATTCTCAAACTCCAATAACTCAGATCTTAATTATGTTTTGGCTGGTGAAAGATGCAGAACTTCATCTTTTTCTCATGAAAATTATAGAAATTTTGTGTAAAAAAGGTACAAAGTAGATGTGATATTATTTTGTCGGTTTCCTTGCAAATAAAGCCTCATTCTGTATTTTGTGACATTTCGATGACCAAAACTATGAGTTGGAATGCAGAAAGTATTATTGAACGGAGAGATGTTGTCAGCGTCTTGCTTCCGTCTTGCAGGACCTAGCCCAACATCCACGACCGCTACAACCATGGCCGCTGCTGGCGGAATGTCTCAAGGAACATGGACGTGCTCCAGGTGTACTTACATCAACACCAACTCACTCAAAGCCGTTTGCGAGATGTGTGAGGGGCCCAAAGATTGAAATGTTCAGAGCCTACCAGCATCTCGAACCATTCCCGGTCAAACTTTGTTTGCTTCTTTTTTTCTCATATTCTTTGGACTCAAATCATTTGAGGTATATTTGCCAAGGAGAGTTTTTGACCCGTAAGAGGTTTTGACGTCAACAGCTTATTCTTCTCACTTGTGACTCATATCTGTCTCAGTCGGGACTCAAATCTGACTCAAGTTAGCACAAATCCAGCAACAGGAATTAATATTGGCACATATTACAAAGTTTTCTCAGTTGATGAGTAATTTATAACAACAACCAAAGCCTAATTCAAATGAGAAGTTTTGACAATTTACTTGATATTGAAAACACAGGAACATAGGCTACTGTTTAGACTTCCCCCCTGAATGACTAACGGAAAAGAAAAGAGAACAGGAGAGAAATGCAAAAAGGAAGGAAAGGGGATGAGAACCACCTCTTTGCCGTGAACTAACCTCAGGAATGATTCCCTTCACAGTTGATGGTGTAGCAGTCTGCTGCTGAGGAGTACTTCCCCCCCCCATCCCATCCCCCCCCCCAAGAAAAATATTCTGGGAGGGGGAGTCACGATGGGCCATGTTTCATGCAAAAAAAGGAGCACTTTCATAATGTCAACTGCCATGATTGGATTGTGATTTTGGCCTCTCCCAAGCATTTACTTTATAGTTATATGTGTGGGATAATTAAGGAACCTGTGGTACATTGTGTTGTAGGCTAAAGGTAGAAGATTAATGATGAACTTATCAACTTTAACACAAACTTGACACGCTCCGGTAATACTAATTTTGGACTAGAAATTGCAAGATAATTCAGAACCTTCATATGAAACTTTTTTTTTCTGTTGCTTCAGCATGCATGTCTCATAAAGTCTGACTTTAGGAAGAGGGTTGATGCAACTTTGCAATGAGATTACACTTAGTCTCTGGCAGGATGACGTTCTAGACCAGATCCCCCCACACACACACACAAACACACACACTCCTATGTGCATTCCTTTCCATCCTCCTTACACCTAGGATTCTCTTCTTGCAGTCACAGATGTTCCTGTTTTCGTAATGGGATTTTGGATTGGTGGGGGGGGGTATTCTTAAGGCAAGAAATTCGTGAGTGTGTGAATTCAATGAATGAGACTTTTATATTAATGTCTCCAGTTGAAATAACACCTGATTAAAGGCAAATGCACATGCCTGGTAATGGAAGATGCTTGATTTCAGAACTGTTAACTTCTTGTGAAGAACAGCCATCTCTATAAAGCCAACTTTTTTTCTGCAACTTTCAGACAGAATTGATAACTTGATTTTTTTTCAAGTGAGTTATTGAAGGATAATAAAATGAATACAGGTTTTTAATGTCATTACATATGGTGTAATTGCTTGTGTCACATCACGAATTTTGTTACTGATTTTTTGTGATCTACTCTAAAATAGTTAAATACTTTAAATAAATATATACCAAGTGAGTCAAAGTTTGGTTGCTTATGTATTGTATGAATCCAGATTGGTTTTTTTTTTCTATGGTCTCAGCGTGCAGAAAACACTGCAATGTTGTCATCAAGACCACCTCAGACCATCACAAGACCACACAAGACCTCCAGTCTGAATTCAAGTCACAAGCTATTCACATTCAACTGCAACAAAAGCATTCCTTGTCCTTGTTTACCCTGTGACTTGTGTCTGGTCTTGTGACTGGTCTTGTGTCTGGTCTTGTGTCTGGTCTTGTGACTGGTCTCGTGTCTGGTCTTGTGACTGGTCTTTTGTCTGGTCTTTTGTCTGGTCTTGTGTCTGGTCTTGTGTCTGGTCTTGTGTCTGGTCTTGTGTCTG